GAAAACAGAGACAAAGCATGAAAGAGAACACAGTGGGAAAATTCCCAGAAATTCTAAATTGAGAGAGCAAAAATTATAATAGAGTCTGGCCACTGAAAAGATTATACTTACAAAGAACTAAAAAAAAAAAAATCTGACACAAAGAAGGGCAAATCCTCTAAATACATTTTGCAAAACAACAAAAACAAAACTGTTCAACAAATATATGAAAAATGTCAGCATTGTTAGTCATCAGAAAAATGCAAATCAAAACTATAATGAGATACCATTATATTTCATCCTAATTCTAATAGCTATTCTTAAAATAAACACACACAGAAGTTGGTCAGGAGACAGAAAAAAGGAACCTTTGTAGCTGTTAGAATATGACTAAGTGCCACCACTATGGCAATCAGTACAGAGGCGTCTCAAAAACCTAATAGTATTCATTTCTTGGTATTGGAAAGGAAAAAAAAGCAACTAAAACCAGAACTACCATATGACCCAGTATATCACCCTCTTGTGTATATATCAGAAGGAAATGAAGTCAACAGACAAAAGATAGGCCTACATGCTATGGTTATTATGTCACTGTTCATGACAGCTAATACTAATTTTGCAGGATTACTATGTTAATGGTATCAGTTAAAATGTTTAAAACATTAAAAATGTAAGGTCATGTATTTGAAATCTTATATATTGAGAATAGGCTAAGAAAATATTTCTACTCAGTCTTTGTTTTGTGTTGATGGAAAGAAGGTCTCATTATCTAGCCTGGAACTTGCTAAGTTGCCCAGGCTGGCTTGGAACTGGTGATCCTCCTTAGTTACCTCCCCCAAGTGCTAGGATTACAGGTATGGACCACCGTAATCCTTCCTACCTTCCTTCTTTCGCATTCTTACTCTTACTGCTGTCTTTCTTTTAAATTAACAAACTAATTAATTAGTTCCTCTCGGCCATTCCAGATATAGGTGGGCTATTCTTTCTTGATTACTGGAAAGATGCCACCAGTTCCTACTGAGAGTGGCATCTAGCCTCTCAAATTCTTCTTGGCTCTCAGATCAATGTCTCAGCTACTGTGAACCACTAGTAGATGGGATAGTTCTAAATACCCTCAGGCAGCTGAGAAGGACTGAAAAAAAACCATCAGTGTAAAACTGCTTTGTGTAGTGCAAATGTAACATAAGTATCTATTTCAAACAAAAGGAAAAGTGTGGACACTGTTGAGTGCTCCGATCATAGCTGTTCCGAGGAAATATCTGACCCAGGCCAGGCAGAAGTAGCCTGATTATCCCGGGTCAGCTGCTGCAGCTGTGAGCAATTTTCCCACATGATTATCTGGTTTCTATCTCCCTCCACTTAAGGCTTAGATAGCTGGACGGCAGCTAAGGCAGCTGGGGGAAACACAGAATATAAGCAAAGAAGTGTATCATCCCACTTGTAAGGGTTGCACAAAAATCCTAAGAACTTGGTCCCTTGTTGGGGAAAGCGAATCTGGAAGATTTAATGGACTGACATTTTTTTTTTTTAACACTTACAACATCTGCCAGTCTGTGAGCTGATGAAATATAAATTGAGGGTTTTCTTAGTCTAGTGGGGCTGATAATTAGCATCCGGTTTTGTTTAGTTGTGAAGTGGCAGGCTCTCCAGCTAGACGGGCTTGATTTGAATCTCAAATTAACCACTTCGCAACCCTCATTGCCAGTAACTACCTTAACCTTGTTTTACACTAAGAATGATACTTGACACAGTTATTGTGAGGAATAAACAAATGACAGGACAGTGTGCTACAGCAGTGGCTGGCAGGGAGTTTCTAAATGTTTACTATGATTTAGAGGTATCTAGATCATGTTACAAGAGCTAGCAAAGGACAGCAACCAAAGTGAAATGTTCTGCTGAAAGCCCAGAGCTATCTGAATTCTGTTCAGCAAAGAGTAACCTTTAAAGCCCTAATACTACACAGGCCCTGTTGGCAGGGATGGCCTGTGGCTAATGTCTGCGAAGTTGGCTGTTGGAAGATTCGCTAAGCACTACACTACCTGATGAGGTCCCTCTGCCCACCCGCAGCACTGTCCTGTGCTGTATCAGCCTTCCCATGCTATTTGCTCATGCACTTGTGACTTTTATGGAGAATATCTACTTTCTGCCGACAGTGTGTCCACGGGAGCAGTCCAGAGAAACCCGTGGCCTCTGAGTCTCCATAGAGCTTCCCTGCACAGACGTTGAACTTAAACTAGTGGGCGTCACTGCTGGAGGCAGGAGCCAGTTCAGCCACAGAAGGAAGCTGAGCCTGGATCTGATGTGGTTTTTTCCCCTTCTCTCTCTTGTTGATCCTGTTGTTCACTGTAATAAATCTTAGCCACGAGCACAAGAATATGGTGAATCCTTCTAGTGTGATACCACATAAGTAGTTGAAGAAGATGGAGAGAGCTCTTAAAGGTGGGATTCTAATTTCACAACCCCCCACCCCAAATATGAGGAATGGAAAAAGCAAAAGGTAGACCAATGATGATGGAGCTGGCGTCTAAAGCTCCCATTTTCCTTCAATCACTCCTGTTTCTACTTTGCCAGGCAGCCATGTCCGACTGTATCTATTACTGGAGCAAGGCAAACTTCTTCCCAAGGTACTATGCTACTTCCCAAGCTACTGGCTAGCTAGGCAATCTTGGGAAAGTATCTTTAAGGACTGTCAAGTCCCCAATATATTCAAACCTATGAAGTATTTAGCCCAGACTCTATTAGATGGTAAATAATAATGCATTTAAAACATTAGATAAATATGCACATATGTGGTCAACCTGTGGGCGTATGAGTTTACACACAGGCACACACAGACACATGTACATAAATATGCATATAAGTTAATTGCTCTAACAGATTGTGTCTTGAAGGAAGCACATTATTCACCATCCTCAGACAAAGCTAGTTAGGATTTCATAAGGGAGCCAGACTTTTATACCTTCTGAGTTCAATTTAGGGAGCCACTTTTTTTTTCTTTTCTGAAACCTTCTGGTTAAAGCCTCCAGGCTGACATTCTTTAATGTGTAACCTCTGAAGCTAATTATTAGCCAGAGAAAGCTTTGCTTAAGACACTCCTCAGTATTTACCCAGAGCTCTAACATATACTGTGTGGTCACATTTTTATAACTCCAAGTTAGTCATCCAACAATGGACTTCTGTGCTGAGAAAATGGCACTCTCTTAGAAACCCCAGTGTTTCTATATAGAAGAGTGAATCTTCCTAGAAGCATGAAAAACATTCTTCTGTGACTAAGACCTGCTATTACCTTTTACATTGGACCTTGATGGCCCTTGTGTTTATCGCATTATAAAATTATACTTAATTAAGGTACAATTACTTGGAAATCATTTGAAAATAATTCATGATGTCCTCTGTCTTCTCTCCTGGAGGAGGAGTCAGTACATCATAGTGTAAGCAGCTTGTTTTCTCCAAGAACTTGCTATCATCTGACTTCCTCTGTCTGTAGCCAAGATGAGAGAATAAATTCTAACCTGAACATATGGAGGAAAACCTCAGTCACTCTAGCCAAGTCTAAGTTCACACTTACTAGTACTAATATCCATTATACTTCCTATTAACTTATTGGTGCCTTCATTTCCTGGTCTGTAAAATCGACAGAGTACAAATATCTGCCCCTGAGCACTGGTGGCTCATAACTGTAAATGTACCAACTCGGGAGGCTAGGATGTGAGGATCAATTCCATGCCAGCCTACGCATAAAAGACCTCCAATTAACCAGATAAAAGCTAAACTGGAGGAATAGCCCAAGTTAGGTAGAGTACCAGCCCTGAGCAAAGAAGCCAAGTAAGCTCAAGACTCTGAGTTCAAGCCTCAGTAACAGCAACTACAACTAGTAAAAGCAGTAGAAAAGCTTGATACCCTCTACCTCCATTTTATACCTGTCTCCTTTACTAAGTCTCTCTCTCCTTCAATAACTTTGGTTGATAGCCGGGTCTCCCTGCAGAACAGAACAGCATTATCGCAAAAGGTAGACTACCCCTGAATGAGGTCAATGACTTATCCTGAAGAGACTGCACTCTGGATCAAAAGTAATCAATCATCTCACGGGAAGCAGATTGTTCCCTAAAGGGATGACAGCAATACCATTTTTTGATTTCCTGGAACCAACACCAAGAGAATAATCTCCCAGGCCACACTTTGCCTGGCACTATTTAATTATGCATACTTCTCTGTTTCTGTCCTCATTCTTTCTCTCTTTCAACCTAAATCTCATTTCTGTGTCAGGAAGATGAGTTGAAATACTTACTTTGCATTTCATCTCATACTCACTTTCCCTACAGCCTGTGTGTGTCCTTCCCACTATTGGTCTTTCTGTCATAATGGGGGAGTGGCCAAACCTGACATCGTGGTACGCCTGGAGGGTTGGTCTTCTGGGTGAGCTTTCCAACTGTACAAACTGTGTGGTAGATTTACTGTTTTATGCCATTAGGTTTTTATAAATGTTTATATATTAAGTATTAAGGTAATGATTATATAAGAAAAGATAATTAGAACAATTCTTAACCAGCGTTATAACGCATCATTCTAATTCAATCCTATAAAGAATCCTATAAAGTTCTATGAAGTCTTTTTTTTTCTTTGACTTTTCATTTTGGCAGCTTATATCACAGTTGGGGAAATCTTCACTTATCCCTATCAGGGCATTTATTTCCCAAGCAGGACTTGACTAGGTGACTTGCTTTTGGCATGTTGAATAAGGAGTTGTGATGTTACATCATCACATCTGAGCTTTAGGAAGCACTGCAAAAATCTGCCTGCTCTCTAGCTTCTAGTCAAACACTTATAAAGTCATTATAGCCCCTAAGCCTGGGTTTCAGAATGAAAAAGCATGAAATGCAGACCTGAACTTGAGTCTCAGGTTGGAAACAAGGCAAACTGCATCCAAACTGAGGTGTCAGTGACCCACAAGTAAGAAAGAGGTGCTTGCTGTTGTAAGCCAAAGGCTTATAGGGCTATTTGTTACTGAGGCAAAGGCTCACCATGCTGTATGATGCCATGGTCCATAAGTCGGTGGCAAAGCTGTTCTGCCTCTTTCCTTGATGTGGCTTCACCTTCCTGCACCAGCCAATCCAAGAACTCTGATGCCATGAAAGTACGCTCATACTTGACTCCTTCTTCTTCCCTGGGCTGTAGGAGTGTGTTTTCAGGACTCATCAGCCTGGGGAACAAGGAAAGGGGGAGAAAAAAATAAAGCAAAGCCACACAAAAGGAAAACAGCTCATTTGAAATCCTACATCATAGGTTTCTGTGAAGTATGGCAAGAAAGGTGTCAGACAGGCAGATGTGGCTGCATGTGCTGCCATAAATGTAAATTCTAAGAGGATGAGCTTCAGAAGATAATGAGATACATTTTCCCTTGGTAATTAGGAGGGAAAAAAACCTAGAAATGCATTCTAAATGTCTACTGTTTCAAGCTAGCCATCTTGAAAAAGTAGTTATAGAGTTAGGGGTACATTGAGTGATAGAGAGCTTTGTCTAGCGTATGCAAGACCCTGGCTTGGATTCCCTGCCCTGAGAAGGGAAAGAAAGGAAGAAAGAGAGGGAGGGAAGGAGTAAGAGAAGGAAGGAAGGAAGGAAGGAAGGAAGGAAGGAAAGAAGGAAGGAAAGAAGGAAGGAAGGAAGTTACTTACTTAAAATCTGCAATTTACTAATTATACTATACTATACCTTTCTAAAAGGCTCATACTTCTTTCCTATGGCCATCATTCCATTCCCCAAATCACCTCCATTACTGGGTTAACAAGATGACTGACCAACTGTGGTAGCACAGAGCTAGCATCCCAGCACTTAGAAGGCTAAGGCAGGAGGATTTTTGAGTTTGAGGCCAGTCTGAGCTACCTAGGGTGTTCAAGGACAGCCTTGACTACACAGTGAGACTGTCTCAAAAGGAACCACAAACAAAAAACTTCAGTAGACTGAGTCGACTGAGTGCTTGCCTCCCTTCTCCTCTTCCCAAATTCATATGCTGACTAGGCTAGTATTTACAGCTGGGACTTTTGGGAGGTAAGAGTTTTCCCTCTCTTGTAAGTCAAAGTATTTCAAAGTACCTGAATCTGCATGTCGTAATGCCAAATAATTTCCTTCCTTCCTTCCTTCTTTCCTTCATTTTTCATTCATTCATTCCATTAATTTCTCCAAACTCTCATCTCAAAAATAACCACAGTAAAAAGAGCTGGAGGTTGGAGAGGTGGCCCAAGCTGGGCACCTTGACCCATGCCTATAATCCTAACTACTTGAGAGTTTTACCCGCAGCAAGGGGTGGGGTGTGGGGGAGGGGGGGGGGGAGTTGTGGGAAGCGGTGGCGGGGGAGACTCCTTTAGGCTGATGTTGTATGTAAGGCAGAATGTGACTCAGTGCTAAAGGGCTTGCTAATTAACACACTTGAGTAACTGGTTTTGATCCCCAACAACAGATACACAGACACACACACATACAGAATTCTACACTGTTGATATTTTGCTTTAGACACAAACTCCTCGCCTTTATCTACATTTCTGCTTTTTCCAGCTTTTCCTTTCAGGGTGTGGAGAGGGCAAGCGTACAAGGTTAATTTGTGTCACTTCTGGTAAGCAGGAATATGACCTGCCAGTCCTGTAGAGCTGCTGCTAACTAGTGGTGGCCTTTTGGACCACGGCTGGCTAGCTGCTTCTGCCAATGTGAGCTTCAGGAACGAGAGCAGCTCTCAGGTCTGCGGGGATGGGCTCTGCTTGTTTTCTGGTAAAACACCCGGCCACCCTCAGTGCTTCCTTCCCTGGTTCACTTCTCCTCACAAATAAGGAATAGCTCCATCTAGGTGCCTTTTTGTAAGACAAAGCCCTGATTTGCACCTTATTTTAGCATTAATATGTAGTCATTGTGTTCAAGTAAGAATTTAAGCTGGGGGCTGATAACTCCCATTTGTCATCCTAGCTACTCAGGAGGCTGAGATCTGAGGATCCCAGTTCGAAGCCAGCCCAGGCAGAAAAGTCTATGAGACTCTTAGAGACTCTTATTGCTAGTTAACCACCAGAAAACCAGAAGTGGCACTGTGGCTCAAAGTAGTAGAGTGCTAGCCTTCAGCAAAAGAGCTCAGGGACAGTGCCTAACCCCTGAGTTCAAGCTTCATCACTGATAAAAATAAATAAATAAATAAGAACTTAACTTACCATCTGTTTCAATGACCTTCTGCTACATAACAAGCTAACATTATTTCATTTTATCAGAGTATTCTATAGGCTTTCCTGGGGTTCAGTGGAACAGGTCTTCTGGCTTGGGGTCATTCACACACTTGTGTGCAACAGGTGGCCAGAGCTGGTAGTCTGGCTCTTCAATTCTCCTTAATATAGCCTGTTTAGTCACACTACCAGATGTCATAGCAGTAACACGAAGCTCCCATACCACACAGTTCAATGGTTTTCATAGACAGGTTGTACCACCATCTCTTCAATCCAAGTTAGAACCTTTTCTTTCCCCCCAGCCATCAATAGTCACTCTTTATTTCTCTATCTTCTCAGGCCTACGCAAACACTAAATCTACATGAATCTGCTTATTCTGGGCATTTCATATCACTTTAAAAAGTACAGAAGTTATAATAAGTAGACTAGAACAAAAGAACAGAATGGAATGGAACAGGAAGAATAAAATAAAATAGAAAAAGAGAACAGAAACAGAATAGAACACAAAATAAAACAGAAAAATAGAATGGTCCCTGGAATATACCTTAAACAATGAATAAATTTTAAACATGATGATGACAACAACTACCATGAGTTTTATAAAAAAAGAGCTATTATTCCCAGGTGCCTATGGCTCACGCTATTATAATCCTAGCTATTCAAGAGGCTGAGATCTGAAGATTGTGGTTTGAAGCTAGGCCCGGCAGAAAAGTCCGTGACACTGTTATCTCTACCAAATTACCAAAAAAGCTGAGAGTAGAGCTGTGGCTCAACTGGTAGAGCACTGGCCATGAACACAAAAGCTCAGGGCTAGTATCCAAGTCTAAGACCTGAGTTCAAGCTCCAGGATGGGCACAAAGAAAAACAGAAATCAATTATTGTAAGAGAAAAAACAAAACATCGCTTTTCTTTGCATCAAAATGAATGAAGATACTATATGTATTTCTATAGACAAGGCCAATCACTCAATTAGTAATCAGAAGTATGGATGATTCTCTGAAATGTCTTCTGTTTTATGAAGCAAACTGATTGTTTTGTTTTGTTTTGTTTTTTGCCAGTCATGGTGCCTGTTACCACTTGAGCCACAGCACCACTTCCAGCTTCTTCTGCTTATGTGGTGCTGAGGAATCAAACCCAGGGCCTCATACATGCAAGGCAAGCACTCTACCACTGAGCCATCTTCCCAGCCTGAAGCAAACTGATTTTTGGCCAATCTTTTTACATGCTAGCCTATAATCATGGCATAAGGCCATACACTATTTAATGGTTAAGCATTATCTGCCACCTGTTAGAGCTCAGCAAATTTAGATTGTATGTGAGCTGATTTCAACCTTTCCTGGATCCATATCTGAGTCAGATTTCCCAGACTCACAGTAACCCAGAGGGAAGGCAGTACAATAGAAGGAACTGCTCCATTCAGGGGCCAATACAGGAATAGAAATAAGTAAGCTGATAGTAATCTCCTTGTACATTGAAGAAAAAAATACAAGAGTGCCTAGCAGGCCCTGAACAACATGGGAATATATATATATATATATATGTATGTATGTATGTATGTATGTGTATATATATATAACATATTCCCATTATATATTATATTATATAAATTATGTGCAGGGACAAAAGCCAGAAGAAGAGTCAAAATGGCCCATGAGGGCAGGGCGCCGGTGGCTTAGGCCTGTAATCCTAGCTACTCAGGAGGCTGAGATCTGAGGATCCCAGTTCAAGCCAGCCCCGGCAAGAAAGTCCATGAGACTCTTATCTCCAATTAACCACCAGAAAAACAGGAAGTGGCGCTGTGGCTCAAGTGGTAGAGTGCTCCCCTTGAGCTGAAGAGCTGAGGGGCAGCGCCCAGGCCCAGAGTTCAAGACCCATGACCCCCCGCCCCCCCAAAAAAAATGGCCCATTAGGCTGTGAGGCCTCAACTTTACTGTTTTGCATTTGGCTACGCAGTTGTCTCAACAGCAAAGACTAATCTTTCCCTGTCAAATTATCTTGGCATTTTTTATGTGTGTGTTGCGCCAGTACTGAGACTTAAAACTCAGGACCTGGGCATTGTCCCTTAGCTTTTTTGCTCAAATCTGGTGTTCTATCACTTGAGCCACAGCTCTTTTTTCTGGCTTTTTGGTGGTTAATGGGAGATAAGACTTACTTTCCTTCCTGGGCTGGCTTCAAACTGTGATCCGCCAAGCTCAGTCCTCTGAGTAGCTTACAGGTGTGAGTCATCAGTGCCTGGCTATCTTGGCACTCCTGCCAACCACCACCAGCACCACTGCTTGGGGCCTATTCACTCCTGAGGCTCAGAGGTCATGGTGTGTGCATTTGGGAGGCTGAGGTGGGACCATAGCATCTTCATTCACATCTGGGTTCTATATTCTTACTACTCACATCTTCCTGTACAGTGACACAGGATGTTTACTGCGCATGGGAACTTGGCTTCTTGGCCAAAGAGAGGCTGAGATCAAGCCCCAGCTACTCATGACCATTTCTTTGAGAAGATGAAGGGTGCCTGGCTCTCCATCACATAGGTTCTGAGTGACATAGAAGGGCTTTACTTTTGATGACTAGGTAAGTCCTATGGCTTATATGAAAAAAATTAGGGCTAATGAGCGATCTATATAGCTCTTTCATTCATTCTCTCAATTTCCCTTCCTTCTCTCTTTCTCTGTTTGTCCCTCCCTCTCTCTATCAATACCATACCATAGTTTCACATATACATCCTTTCAATTTTTAATATATTATTTCTACCACCCTTCCAACCAAACCAAAAACTCCTACAGATATCATGCCTAAATCATCCTTTTATTTCTTTGAAAACAAAACCAAGGGAAGAGGGGCACATTATGTGTGCTCAATAAATCTTTTCTAATCCAACTGATGGAAAATAAAGCCAACATCACATGCAGCAAACATGGAATATTATTTGTCTTTGAAGGATAATATCCTTTCCTCTATACTTGTTCTTTTAAATCAGCTAGTAGAAGAGCTTTTAGTGCTGCTTTT